GGGCGGGCCCGTGGCAGCGGCTGGTGGCGACGGCTTTGCAACTTCTTATTGATGTACCTGCTCTGATTTGTCGTTGTCCGGGTTGACGGCCCCCTTCGGTTCTGGTCGAGGGGTCGGTCCTGTCGGAACGACACTATATTGTAGAACTCTCGGCAAACGAATATCTTGGCCTTTGCAACGATGAAGAGCGCAGCGAAATGCGAAGCAGAGGTTTGAGTGTGAGCATGCCTGTTGGGACCCGAAAGATGGTGAACTATGCCCGAGCAGGGCGAGGCCAGAGGAAACTCTGGTGGAGGCTCGCAGCGATACTGACGTGCAAATCGTTCGTCGGACTTGGGTATAGGGGCGAAAGACTAATCGAACCATCTAGTAGCTGGTTCCCTCCGAAGTTTCCCTAAGGATAGCTGGAGCTGTTGAACAGTTTTATCGGGTAAAGCGAATGATTAGAGGCCTCGGGGGAGAAACACCCTCGACCTATTCTCAAACTTTAAATAGGTAAGATTTCGGGGTTGCTTAAGCGAACCCCGAGGATCAATGAAAGCTCCAAGTGGGCCATTTTTGGTAAGCAGAACTGGCGATGCGGGATRAACCGAAAGTCGAGCTACGGTGCCAAACTGCGCGCTAACCCAGACACCACAAAGGGTGTTGATTGATACAGACAGCAGGACGGTGGTCATGGAAGTYGAAATCCGCTAAGGAGTGTGTAACAACCCACCTGCCGAATCAATCAGCCCCGAAAATGGATGGCGCTGAAGCGCGCGACCTACGCTCGGCCGTCGCGGCGATTCTGACGCCGCGACGAGTAGGAGGGCGCAGGGCCTGCTGCGAAGCCAGGAGCGTGAGCCTAGGTGAAGCGGGTCCCGGTGCAGATCTTGGTGATAGTAGCAAATATTCAAATGAGAACTTTGAAGACCGAAGTGGAGAAGGGTTCCATGTGAACAGCGCTTGGAATGGGTCAGTCGGCCCTAAGAGATGTGGAAACCTTGTATCAAGGGCGCACTGCGCGCCGCACATCGAAAGGGGGTCGGGTTACTATTCCCGAACCGGGTTGTGGAGGTGGACGGTAACGTAAGCAGCTCCGGAGATGCCGGTGGGGGCCGTGGGGAGGGTTCTCTTTCCTTCTTGACGGCTCGCCCACCCTGGAATCGGATCAACCGGAGAT